TTTTATTATTACATATACTAATGAAAACTAAAAACCAGATGTTATTGGACGCCTTGCTGTGAGATACCCACCCCGCGAGGTTGAGTATGGCGGACAACAAACAATCTTGATGGAATTACTTTTGGAGGATCATGAGTAAATGAAATCAAATTCTATTTCTCTTATATAAGTTTGCATTCAATTTTCAAATTTTTATTTATATTTATTTTTATAGGGGAAACACAATGTCTTGCACGTTGTGGGGTGAGTATGTTGACTACTTGATTAATCACTTAGCCAACACAAATGAAGGGGATAGTGTTGTCATTATTGTTCAAATGTGTCACCCCAAAAAGTTCCAAAGGCAAATTCGAGTGTCCAACACGTTCAATGTTACCAAGCTTATCATAAATGGTGATACTCTGGAAATAAATGAGTTTCGCAATAGGTAATGATGATTTATTTCTCATTCTTTAATTCAATAAATCATCAAAACCAATAAATACTTAACCTCTCCGTGTTAGGTTCAACATTCAAGGGAGAGTTGAGGTACCGATCACCAATATTGTTGAACGAAGATATGAACATTCTACTACATTGCCAGATATGTTTTCAAAAGACCAGAGACTTATTAAAGACTTATTTAAACAAGTTTCTATAACTCATAACTCACTCTAGAAACCATTTTTGTACCCTTCCAAAGCAACAAAATAGAAATTCATATAGAAAAAACAATTTTCATCTTACCCAAGATCTTGAAAATTACTTTTCTAATTTATTGAGCTTATAGTTTTCTTAACTCATTCAAAGATATCTAGGGAATTAAACAATCCTTTCGTACATCGCAATTTTCCATTAAAAGCACTCTTTCTAACTTATCAAGGTAACAAATTATATGTAGTCCTTATAAACTCATAAGGAACTTCTGTTTTTTCCCCTACTCCTCCATACTCGATCCTATTTCCATAGTATAATCATCAGAATAACCACTACATTCAAGATACATCAAGATAATGAAGATAACAAAATCTACAATTATACAACTAAGAAAAAGGAAGCATAGCGATATTGTGACCACAGGTAAGGATATTTACATAACTCCTATTTTCCATAGATGTATTTTTTCATAATGTTCTTATAATTTTGCACATTAGGAGAAAATTTCTTTACATGTCTTAATATACACAAGCATACACATATACACGAGTGTACACACATATCTACATATATAGACAAATAAATATTCATCTAGGGCTAAGAGAGGGCCTAAATTTCAAAGAGAAATTCTCAATTTCACAAAGCAATTCTCAATTCTCACATTCAAAAACCAACTAGACTGAGAATGGCCCGAATTTCACAAATCATTTAGTAAAACAGATAATTGATAATTTGCCCCATATTTGTAACCTAGACACCAACTCACCTTAGACCACGAATAGCCTTGCAACCTGGGGACGCTGCAACTTCTCGCTACCCTCCAATTGTTTTTTCGCCATCCTTAAACCCACTCTCGCAGATCTGGCGGTTGTTCTCGGATGGCCACCGTCTGTGAATTTGGAAGGAGGACAAGATTAAGAAGCAAATAAATAAAAATTACATATTCATTCCTAAAATCTATAGGTAACGAAATAAGAAATAAATGAGACTTTTTGTTTGTTTTAGGAATTGATAAACATTGTTAGATTAGTCTGAAGATTTGATGTCACCTACTAAAATTTGTGAAGATAATAATTGGGCTTGAAAGATGTAGTTGAGGACCATTTTGTTTGTTTTTTTCTTTTTCTTTTTGTGTGTATATGTTTTTATTGAGTTATTTTTAACAAGATTCATCAATATGTTTGCTAACAATATAATTTCCTATCGTAAATACAATTGGTATTGTATATTCAAAAAACTTATGTTCTGATAGGCAGCGGATCAATTTTTTTCATTCTGTTTTTTATTTTTTTATTCATTTATCTATAAATAAAAAACTAACTATTCATATAATATTTGTATACGTTTTCAAATAAAATTATTTGATACTCTCAAAATTAATTTAAAAACATGCTTTTGGTGAAGGAATTTGACGATCCGATCGCAGCAGTTGTTGACGCTGTTTTTCCCACATTTCGAACTAACCCGAATGATCATTCTTATTTCCTGGAAAGAGCTATATTAGCTCCAACTCTGGATGTGGTGAACTCTGTTAATGATTACATGGTTTTGTTAAATGCTTCGGAGGCAAAAAGATATTTGAGTTCCGATTCTCCCTGTCATTCTGATAATAATGTAAGTGTGATTAATGATATCCAGACTCCAGAGTTCCTCAATTCAATTAAGTGCTCTGGCGTCCCAAATCATGAGTTGAATTTAAAAGTCGGGACGCCTGTAATGCTGCTTCGCAATGTTGACCCTTCCATTGGTTTGTGCAATAGAACTCGATTAATTGTCACAAAACTTGGAAATCATGTTATAGAGGGTGAAGTTCTTGGAGCAGAAAGTTCACGTCAAAAAGTTCTTATCCAAGAATGTCATTGACGCCTTCAGATCCGAGACTTCCATTCAAGTTTCAGCGAAGACAGTTTCCAATTATGGTGTCTTACGCAATGTCTATCAATAAGAATCAAGGACAATCTTTGACTAGCGTAGGATTGTTGTTGAAGAAACCTGTATTTGGTCATGGACAATTATATGTTGTTGTTTCTAGAGTAACGAATCTCAAGGGTCTAAAAATTGATATTTGTGATGGCGATAGTGATAGTGAGCCCGGTTCTTCTACTACTGATGTTGTATTTAAGGAAGTGTTCCAGAATGTGTAATAAAATAAGTTACTTTTTTCTTATTTTATATTGCAAGAGCATTTTTTTATATTACGATAACCAATTTTTATTTAACATTATTCCCTTTTTAATATCATGTCGCGCATCGCGCGGGTGGCGTACTAGTATTGTTCATGTTTGTCGTACCAATCTCCCTCAATGACCTCTTTTGGTCCTCTCGGTAGGCCCAGAACAGCCTCAACATCATCAGCGGTAATATTCATCTCTCTATTACCGCGGAGAATGAGAGTGTTACTGGCATACCTGTGATAACATGTGATATAATGTGTTGTACATGTTTAATAAGAAAATGAACATGTTGTAGAATGAAAATAACATGTTGTATATTCTAATGAAATTCAAATTTCACAAATTACCTGTACTTTGAGACAAAGAAATAACAAAGATCTGGTTGCGCAATCTGTGTAATCTTCATGTCGAGAAGATAACCAAAACCTATACTCTTTACATCTTCTTTCTGTCGGTCATCCAAGTCTTTGAAAAGTTTGCACAACGCTAGAGGGGAAACTCTATTTATGAATCCCCTTTCTTCTTTTATTTCATAGGTTAATTTTGGCTTCTTTCTTTCAGTTTGCTCACTCAGAGTATCAGTTTTTCTTTTTCTACAAAAATAATATCATGAACATGTTACAGTTCAAAATGAACATGTTCAAATATAAAATGAACATGTTACAGTATGATATGAACATGTTTTAGTATGTAATGAACATGTTCAAATATAAAATGAACATGTTACAGTATGATATGAACATGTTTCAGTATTTAATGAACTTGTTCTATTGTATAATGAACATGTTCAATTAATGAACATGTCTACATTCTATATAAGATGTTCTTTGAACATGTATAACAACGAAATGAACATGTATAATAAACAAATGAATATGTTTAAAAGAAAATTGAACATGTTCAAATGAACCAATATACGAATGAAGATGAACAAGGCGGACATACCGTTCCCCAACATTTTTTGGCCGTTGTTTCGAACTCTTTTTCCTACGGGCTTTAATTTTATCCTGTGTGGCAAAAAATTAATACATTATACAATCTTCTGCAATGACTACTTTAAACCCTAGGCACAGAAATTTGAAATTGAAAATAGGGTTTTGGAAAGTGAATTGAATCTCTAATCGGATTTAAACTTCAACCCAATGCAAAAAATACATACCAACATATTCCGCAATGTCTCTTTTTCCATCTGCCATGAAGTAGGGTTTTTCATTTCTAAGTTTAACATTTAAAAGCTATGAAATTGAAATTTAATCGACATGAAAAGCAAAGAAATCTTACCTGTGAAGTAGGGACCGTCGGAAATTGAGCGTTTTTCAGTTAAAATTGTCTTCTCCGGGAACTTTTGATCGTGAAACGGAGAAAATTCAGAGAAAAAATGGAGAGAATGAAGAGGAGTTGCAGTTGCAATTGGGGAAGAAGCAGTTAGAATCTCGAGGCACGATGCCGGCAAAATTGAGTAAAAAAATATAAAATGTGACAAGGTGGGATTTGACAGGGCGCGTGAAACTTACGTTAAGTAAAAAGCAATTTCAACACTTTAGTTTAACCTGAGGGGCGCGTGCAAATCGGATTTGGCACACCTAGCAAGGTGTGCCAAGGCACACGATAGTGCAACTGATATATTTGTACCATATGACCTAGCAGGTTGGGCCGAGTTTGGATTATCCCTAGAAATCGATATGTTTTCATTTTATTTTTCTTTAAAGTGAAAGGATTAAATTTAAATTAATCACCAATATTAGTCCATTCGTGACAGCTTTTCTGTACCACATAGTATTTGTTTTAGGTGTTTCACATTTCTGTCCTTTTTTTGCCATTGGCTGTAATTATTAGTGGTATAGAAATATAGTGATGATGAAAAAAGCAAAGAAAATCCCCGACCTCGCCTGCCTCGCCTTTGCTTTGCTGTTATTTATTGTACTGTACAACTAACTATGTTCTAAAAGTACTCCACCTAACAGCCCTTCACCAAATTGGAAATTTCTTCTCACTTTCTTCATTCGCAGTCCGCCATTAGTGTTTACATTCTCACTTCCACACACACACACACACACACACACACACATTGCTTTCTGCTTCACCATCCATTTTATCCTAGTTACTCTGCACTTACCAACGTTAACATTACCAACATTAACGACAATCTGTTCCTTAATTCTCCCAAAAAATCAAGAAAGCAAAAAAGAGATGAAATTCGGGAAAGAATTCGCATCGCAAATGGTGCCCGAATGGCAGCAGGCCTACATGGACTACCGCCTCCTGAAAAACATCCTCAAGGAGATCCAGCAGTCCAGGATTCGGGTCCAGCCCGGCCCGAAGCGCAGCCTCACCCTCTACCGGGCCTTCAGTGGCCTCACCCAGCGGCCCAACAGCGGCCACCAAACACACGATGTCGAAAACCAGGCGATTGTGGTGAACACCGTGAACGAGAAGTCGGAGACCACGTTCCTGACGGCGGCGGACGAGCAGGAGGTCGGCTTCTTCAAGCAGCTGGACGTTGAGTTCAACAAGGTGGCGGGCTTCTACCGGGGCAAGGTGGAGGAGGTGGTAGAGGAGGCCCGCGGGCTCGACAAGCAGATGGAGGCCCTGGTTGCCTTCCGGGTCAAGGTCAAGGGCCCAACCCGGTGGGCCCGTCATGGGTTCGAGGAGGAGGAGGAGGAGGAGAAGGAGGAGAGCAGCAAGCTGGCGGGTGACGTGGCGGCATCAGGGGCTGCTCTGGCTTCCACTGCTCCACTGGCCACGGTTAGGAGTAGCAGTAAGTGCTCGATTTATTTCACATTTGAGTTGTTCTGTGTATAATTCTTGAGTTTTCTTATATTATCAGTAATCAGTATGATAGTTTCATTGAATACTGGATGGAAAATTTTATGCAACTATAAATTTACAGGTAGAATTCAAATAGATGTTATAGAAGAAGAAATTTCGGGCCTAGACGATCCGGGTGATGATAATGAAGACGGCCCGGAAATGAAACCAATAGATGTGAAAAATCAAGAAAACGAGCAAAATGAGTTTATGAAGCCAGCACCTGTAGATGTGCTTGAACGTGTGAAGTTCAACTCCTCACAGGAAACACCTAGGTCGACGATCAAAGGCATTCTCCGTCTTCCCAACCAAACAGAACTTAAGTTCAGCGAGGATGTTTTGAGAAAATTAGAGGAACAACTTAAGAAGGCGTTTATCGTATTCTACCACAAGCTGAGGCTTTTGAAAAAATACAGGTTAGCCAAGAAAGAAAAAGCATGTCGAGTTTATTAAATGTTTAATTATTTTGTCAATGTACCTTTTGTTTTATTGTGTTGTGTTAACTTATTGTGTTTGTATCGTGCAACAGTTTCCTCAACATTCTGGCATTCTCGAAAATCTTGAAAAAATACGATAAGGTACCTGCCTGAACGATCTCTCTCTCACACGGCATGCTGAAACTAACCGTGAAATTTCTGTAATACGAACATCATTTTATTGTTTGATATTTTTTATTTTTATTTTCATGAGATACACATGGATAGGCATGTCATCAGCTCATTAAATTTTACTGTCTTAACTTATTTTCAGATTGCGTCAAGAAATGCATCGAAACCTTATATGAAAATGGTCGATAATTCCTACCTCAGCAGCTCGGACGAGGTGAGTTTTATGCTTAAGATATCTTCTGTACGAATTGTCGTATAATATTTAATATCCACCCTTCATTTATAGAACTATCTATTACATATTTCATAAATGAAGTCGCAATTTGTTGTATAAGTTTACATTTTGTGACTACTATTTTAGGTCAGCAAGTTGATGGAAAGGGTAGAAGCAACCTTTATCAAGCACTTTTCCAACTCGAATCGTAGTAAAGGGATGAATATCTTGAGGCCGAAGAAGAAGAAGGAAAAACATAGAATTACATTCTTTATGGGTAAAGCTTACACCATTTTTCTCTAACGTACTGAATTGGCAACAGTGTTTTTATCGGCTCTTTTGTCTAAATTCTTAATATTTTTTTTTGTTTTTCGGTTTTTTAAACATATTTTGCAGGATTTCTTGTTGGCTGCACAATTGCACTTGTAATGGCGTTAGCTATGATAATTCGCGCACGTAATATCCTCGACAGTGCAGGGAGAGTATTGTACATGGAAACTATGTTTCCCCTTTATAGGTAAATCCAGTTCATGTTCCAATATTCTAAATCTCGACATCCAAACCATTTTAGATAATTGACTTGAAGGATTTGCATATGCTTTTCGTCTTTGAACCTATTACAAAACAGTTAACTTAAATTTCCATTTACAGTTTGTTTGGGTTTGTTGTTCTGCACATGCTGATGTATGCCGCAAACCTATACTTTTGGAGGCGATACCGAGTCAATTACACCTTCATATTCGGTTTCAAAGAAGGAACTGAGCTTTGCTACCGAGAGATTTTGCTTCTCGCTTTCTGCTTAAGCGTGCTGGCTTTATCCAGTGTGCTCGCCAATCTGGACATGGAAATGGATCCCATTACCCAGGACTATAAAGCCTTAACTGAACTCCTTCCTCTCGGATTAGTAGTGGTAAAAACTTATTTAACATTATAATTTCCTTTATTATCGAAAAAAATCAAATTTTACTTACGTCCACATCTTACTCAACATGGAGTTACCGTTTGTGGGCAGCTTGTGATTCTGATTATGGTGTGCCCTCTAAACATCATATACCGTTCGAGCCGCTACTTCTTGCTTGCCTGCTTGTTCCATTGTGTCTTAGCTCCTCTTTATAAGGTAACCACATTTTAATCATCAACTTATGTAATAGAAATTATTCTTTAGGTTTAACCGAATCCCAATGGAACTCGGTTGTGCTTTCCAATTTTTAAAATAATTAGGCTACTATCCCGAAAACTAAAATTGATGTTTGTCATTGTAGGTCTCATTACCGGACTTCTTCTTAGCAGATCAGCTTACAAGCCAGGTTTGTACTTGTTGGAAAAAATTGTTCAGTTTTCCAACAAATAGGTGTAAACCAATACAGTAAATAAGATAATCATATGCAATGGTTTTTATGTAGGTTCAAGCTCTTAGGAGTTTAGAGTTTTACATTTGCTACTATGGCTGGGGAGACTACAAACAGAGGGAAAACAGTTGTCACGAGCACGACATTTTCAGGATTTTCTCTTACATTGTGGCTGCAATACCCTACTGGTGGCGCCTCCTTCAGGTGCACAGAAACAAATACTACTTCACTTCAAATACACCCCAAATAATCTTGCAATTTTTAAAATTAAGAGGGCTTTTCTATTAATTTGGATTATCTCCATATCATTTGTTTGCAGTGTCTGAGACGGCTGGTGGAAGAGAAAGATCCCATGCATGGGTACAATGGGTTGAAGTACTTGTCGACCATTATTGCAGTTTGCACACGAACAGCCTACACACTCAATGGAAGTCCCTCCTGGAGGCTAACGGCCTTGATAGTCTCGATTATTGCTACACTTGTTAGCACGTATTGGGATATTGTTATCGACTGGGGGCTTTTCCAACGGCATTCCAAGAACAGGTGGTTGAGAGATAAACTGCTTATCCCACACAAAATTGTTTACTTTGTGGCCATGGTGAGTTTTGCAGAGATAAGAGAGAATTTTTAGCCAACTTCTTCTTCTTCTTCTTCTTCTTCTTCTTTTTTTTTTTTTTTTTTTTTTTTTTTTTTTTTTTTTTTTTTTTTTTTTTTTTTTTTTTTTTTATATTGATTTTTTTTGTCGGGGGGTGCAGGTTTTGAATGTGCTGTTGAGACTGGCATGGATGCAGACTGTGATGAATATAACCGTTTTTTCTCTGCACCGGCAGACCATGACTTCGCTCGTGGCATCTCTTGAAATTATACGTCGCGGTATATGGAACTTCTTCAGGTACAATAAATTTGAATCGAACTCATGAGATAGAAACAAATGTTCAATGTGAATGTTTGTGATCTTGAGAGACATGAAGTTTATTGTAATTAATTGACTGAATGTATTGTTGATGTGGTGTTTCTGAGTGCAGACTGGAGAATGAACATCTTAACAACGTAGGTAAATACCGAGCTTTCAAGTCAGTGCCATTGCCTTTCAATTATGATGAAGACGAAGATGAGGACAAGGATGATTAGAGATATTCTCTGGCCTTTCCTATATTTTCTTGTAGAGTAGCGTAGAAGTATAAATGAGGAAAAAAATCAAATCAATCGAATAGAAGAGTGGAGGAGAAGGAAAAAAAAAAAAAAGTTCCGACTCCTGCCAGTCATATTCTTTGATTGTTTTTGCAAACTGAATGTAAATGCAGATGTAATGCCTTTTTTTGTGTATAGATTTAGATGTATCTAAATTTTTGCCTCTCATTGTTGCTGTTGAACAAACATACTGAAATTCTTCAACAAGTTCAACAATTTGATCTTAATTCAAGGATACAGAGAGGTGTATGTTTGTCAGAACAAATAAAACTATTTCATCTAGAATGAACTCATAGACAAAATCCCTGTCGTCACAAATTGCCTTTTCACTTTCTATTGATGGACACGGCACATATTAAAATCACGTTTTTCTCCGAACAAACCCAGTTACTGGTGAAGCTATAAGAAGAAAAGTGCTGGTTAGAAGTAAATCTCAAGTGCTTCACTATTGTAAAACTCTCAAATGAAGATTCGAGCAATCTACCACAAATTTCATCGTTAAGGTTCGAACTCATAACATGTACATGAACCGAAAATTCTTAAAGTTGTGTAATGAATATTTGTGAACAGAAAATTATGTGATTGCCCGATCTGGCCTTTATCAAACCAATCAAAAGAAGGCAACAGGCTGTGGACATAAAAACATGATATAAGCATATATAAAACTCGTATGACATTCTTCATTTTATCATTCATCCTCATTGCAAGCTGCATTGATCCAATGAAACTGAATTTATTTTATTCTCCATTGGTCTTCATTTACCTCCAACAAAGCCCACACAAATACTATTGAATCAAACCGTCTCAAGCTTGCAAACGAAAACCGTTATTATCGATACATACTATGCAATCCAGACATTTCAATAAAAACTACCAAAGCACTCAAACACGACAATATCCCTCTTGCATATACAAATAGGTTATTGTACACTTTTTTGCCCAAATCTTCAGAAAACCAGAATTATCTGCCCATTAAAGCAAACATAATCGTGTATGTAAGAAACGAGCAAACATATCAATCCAAACAAAATTAGGTAAAGCATCAACAATATGTTTTAAAGAGATGATTTCGATATCATATAATTATTGGACGAATATATCGATTCCTGCTCTAACATGTGTGTCAAATTATCTCATAGAAAATCCTGCTAAGAATCCCCCTCACATTTTCAAACCAAAGACTATCAGCAACATCAGCAATTATTCAAAGAATACACTAATTCCTGCTTGAACTCATCAAAGTGTTTGTGAAATTACCTCAGAGAAAAAATTTACTCCCAAGTACGAGCGATCGACAACAGTATAGCAGTGCAAGAAAATCCAAATTCTTCAAACCCCAAAACCAAAATCCCTAATCCAAAATCAAGCAGAAATCTTTTCATCGCCGCCCAATTTCTCCTCCACAGCCTCCTTCTCTCCAGACACCTCCTTCGAATTTTCTCGCTCTTGCTCTAGCTGCCTCGCGGCCTCCTCCTCGGCGGCCTTCTCCGCCTGCAAGAGAGGAGCGTAGTAATCGGAGTGCGCCTCCATACACTTCTTCAGAGCCGCCGTCTCCTGGAAACACTTCTCCACGATATCCTCTTTGTTCGTCTCGCCTTCCTCCACGCACTTTTCCCATTCTATGAAGGGCTCCTTGCATCCGCCGCCTTTCATGAACAGGCAAAATCCACACTCGCCTTCTTCTTCTTCTTCGTCCTCTCCTACTTCTTCGACAATGTCACCGTCTTTGGTAGATTCTTCAGTGTTTCCTTCGGAAAGGGTTTCGGTTTCTGCTGCATTTGGTTGATCTTGTGCAGCCGTTGGATCTGATGGCGGATCAATAGATTTTTCGGTTGGGGTTTTCGATTCTTGGGTTTGGGAGGCGTGGGAAAGCTCGGAATTTGGGGATGACATGGTGACGGCGACGGCGTCGGTGGGCGAAGAGGAGGTGGCGGTGGAGTCGGGTTGTGAAGGCTTGGACAACAAGTCGCCCATGGCTGCTGCTGCTGCTAAACCCCTTTTCTCTTCTTAAACCCCTTCCTTTATTTCTTTCTCCGAATATTTTAATGTTTTTGTTTTGGGATCTTCTAGGACAGGTAGTGTTGTACATAACTGACACCAGGTAGTCCACTTTGTTACCATTAGATTGAGTAAAGATTGAATATCAACCATTGATTTCATGTACAAACTATGTACAATGAAAAAAAAAAAAGATTTTTGCTTTGTACATGGATTTGTACACTTGTACAAGCGAAAAACCTATTTTACCCTTACTATTACTTAAAATATAAATAAATTATAATTTGATATTTCTATTTATTTTGAAAGTCTTATCTTTATCTAATTTATATATCAGTCCTTTATGTTTTGTACTTATTATTACAATCCATTATCTAAATGTTCATCTTTTTTATTTTTTTTTTATCTGTAGATTTTTGTTCATCCATCGTTCTTCATCATCGCCATCGTTCTTCATCATCGCCATTGCTTATTCCTTCGATTCCACCGGCGAAAACTTCGCATCCCCTAATTTCGATTAACAAAAGACCAATCCGTTCAGGTAATTGTTGTTCGAATCAAATGGTGAACGAAATCAAACACCAATATTTGGTACAAAAAAAATTCCTAAAAACTCTTGGATTTCCGATATTGTTTGTTATTCACTGATGAATATTAGATTTAATTGTCGGTCGTTTTCCTAATTTTCCCTTCTGCAATTGAATTCCTTTTATTATCTTAGCATTTGGAAATTTGGAGATGATATAATTATTTTCATTTCATGTTAGAGTAGGTAGATTTGATGAACGAAGAATTAATGTTGTTTATGTTCTATCCTTAAGTAGCACATTATATGGTTCTTGGAATGCCTCACCCCTGAGTACACAGATGATCAATTTTCCCTCTGTTAGAAATGCATTGATTCGAGGAGTGGCAACTCATGATGATTCTATTTTGCCTATTTGCTGTTAGAAGAGCACTTGATGAAGCCTAGAAACACAATTGGAAGTATATTCATTTCAGTGTGTGTAGATGAATAAGAGCTGGTGCCTTTGTTGAACAACTTTAAGATATCCTACATTTCCTTTGTTGATAATTTAATCTAATGTGTTTGTAAAACTTTATAAATAGATTTGCACTTCTAAGAAGTCTCATTTATACTTTAGGCAAATTACAAGTATCTTGCGCTTGTTACATGAAGAAGCAACACAGCCGGTAATGTAACAATGGCGATTGGAGATGATGCAGACTATGTGGGACAAGACCTGGAAGCTTAAAGTGACACCCAAAATGAAAAGCTTCAATTGGAGATGCTGGTATGGATCGCTGAACACAAATGGTCAGTTGCTGCACAAAAAGATCAAGGTTTATACTATCTAATGTATTTGTGGATAATGAGAACTTTGAACATATCAAGGTTTTTGAAGATACTGAGGAGTTTAAACATATTCTCCTTACATGTCTGAGGTTTGTGAATTCTTGTGTATGATTATCGTAGCTTGTACTTGATCCATTTGTTTTGGTTTATATATTGCTCGATTGTAATATATTGTTGAAGTTGGGAAAAAAAATATGTCAGGTGTTCCTGTCCATATTTTGCGTGTAATTGTTGTACATGTCACTTGCCAACCCAAAAATTCAATTTTGCATGTACATTGTGTACATTCATTTACATTTTAGACTATTGCAACATACGAATGTTGTACAACAAAATTGTAAACAAGTTCAGAGTCGAAAGAATCAAAACCGTATAGATTTCTTGTACAAAAAAAAAAAAAAAATGTATAGATGACAACCAGCAAAATAACAATAAAGTACCATCAAACAAATAAAAACATTATATAAACTGGCAAAACTGGATGATATATAGCCCCCATTGAACATTATATAAACTGCAGTGCAAGGTACATAATGAAAAAAAAAAACAAAACAAAACAAATTGAAGTTATTATGTTCAACCATCGACATCCACCCTCACCATAACCTACAAAAGCAATTGACATTTTTTAAAAACTACATCGAAAACCAAACCATTGCCCTCAAGTTCGAATTTCCTAAAAGTGATAGTTCTTCCTTGAACTATTTGAGCATATTGGATAAAAGGCTTCAACCCTTTGAAGATGTGTTTGGTCCTTTCTTTTTTCATATCAACGATCCATTGCTTGTCCCCACTCCGAATACGGACAGATTCAACTTCATCATATTTCCCTATCAACTCTTGATTCCAGAATGTAGATGGAATTGTCTGTTTGACAAATTTAAAAAAAAATTGCATTAATAAAATTCAACAATATCATTTACAAATGTAGCATGCAAGAAAATTAATTAAAAAAATTAGATATTTGCAAGTACATATTTGTTACCTGTCGTCCGCGGGTAACTAGAGTCATGGACGCTTTGAAACGGAACCCACCAACAAGAGTTTCTTCATCCATCTCATCAAATCCCTCATCGTCTTCATTGCAAGTTTCCAAAACAGATCTAAGGTATCTTCGAGCACATGAATGGTCAAAATGGTATACAATGAACCTGTTTGGGAACGTTGATTTAAATATTGTGGGTGTTAAATGTTATTACAACAGTTGCAGTTTTATACTCGAAAAACAAATGAACCTGTTTGGGCCTTCAAGTTGGAACACTAGGATGTCAAAATATTGAACTGAATTTTCCCTTGCAAAGTCATCCCACCCATCAGCAAACCCAATCCTTGTTCCAATACGCTTAATTACAACAGGCCATTTGAAGGCATAATCCACATCACTGTTCTGTAAGGTGCATTCAATTGGAAGTAAACGTTCCATAGTGCACCCAATCATATGGGGTATAGGCTAAGAAAAATACGGATGTCATGTCAGACAGGCAATTCGTTTGTAAACACAAGTATAATATTTGACATACAAACAGATCTTATAAAATTAAGCACAAGTCATTAAATGAAGATAGAAAGAAGAAAGAAACACAAA